CACACACACACACACACACACACACACACACACACACACGTGTACTGTAAGAGATTCAGGGAAAGAATACAGTGAAGTTATTGAGTAAGCAATAAGAAAACAAATCAGACGAAAGCTCCCTGTTAATGAGGGAGAGAGGTCATCTACGCTGAGGCTGAGATCCGGAGTGATACGGATACAGGTGGCAAAAGAACAGCGAGTCAGCTTATATCTCATCTTGTCTTCCACATTTTCTCTCTTCTACGGTGGCCCTGAAAGGTCAAAGGTACTCTAACTAGCTGTGGTAAACAGCTAATAGCGTGCATCTACAGGAAAATATCAATGGTGCAATTAAAACAGATTATTTTGCGTCATCTTCTCCCTCCCAACACTTCTTCTGTAATCCTTCACGTGTTTCACCTCCATAGCTTTTCCATCATGTTAAAATCACTTCCGTTGTGTTTTGCATACTTTTGTGGTGTTTTTCTGTTTGCCAGTGTGTTTCATCCCTGTCACAGCTACAGTACTTTCCCCTGTTGCGTCCCCTTGTGTCTTGTCCCTTTAAATCAGATATGTCAAAAGCACTTCACATACAGCCCATTTTGATCTTAAATGGACTGAACCAGAGACACTTCCCTTTCTGTTAGTGGAAATACTTTTAACTACGCATTTAACACCAATTAATAAAGTAAAAATCCAACAGTACTTCTCAGTTTTTTCTACACAATAAAGAAATGTTGCTGTAGTAAATGAAAGAAATATTTTAGCAAAAATAAACGTTTAAAATCACGTTTCTCATTGCTCAAACTCCTGGAATATCAAAAGAGAACATTTTTGTTAATTCACAGTCTCTTTGTTTTTCTACTGTGGACACATTGTAAAAAACTGAAATTTATATAGTCCATCACGGTGTCGTATGAATGGCTGTGGGGAGGTCCTTACTGAAATCTATGCAGTCTTTCACATATGCCAAATCTATCAAGTGGGACATAATGGGGTCCTTCCCAGGCCGATTCTGGCCCATGGGCCT